AGGAGATTGTGGCTATTTCGCAGATGTAAAATGTAGACACGAATTATTCCGCAGAGTAGAACCCTAAGTTGCCACCAGCACTTGTTACTAATTTTAGTGAGCATTCTATAAACACAATCACATATAAATAATTACACCTCCATATCTAATTTTTAGAGTTGTTCGTGGGTGATAAAAGGTTACGAATCTGGGGAATGTGCGAGTTAATGTAAAATGGTTCTATATCCTAAGGACTGTTTTCGGGCATGACTAGTGTGGCATGATGGAGTAGTTTGGTTATAATTAGGTTTTGGCTTTAAACTGAAATTAATCCCAATTTTGATTTCCTTCAATCGGCTGTAAGCTGGCAAGGGTTCTTTATCAGTTTAGTCAAAGAGGAACTATGTTAATCAGGCACGGAAAGAGACTAACCCTACCTACAAAAAGGAACTTACAGAAAATATCAATCATTGTGCTAGGGAATAGGAAAACTCTCTTAACATTAACTTCATGTACCACCACCAGTTTACTACTTGTATATGTATTAGGGAAAGAAAAAATTGCTGTCAACAAGGATTACAAAAATTCAAGTAGAAAACAGTCTCTTAACATTACTTATATAGTACCTTTCATACATCCCATTTTTCTAATCGTAAACTACTTCTGTTCACAGTAATTGACTTTTTGTGCATGATTTTCTTGATTATATACACTTGACCTGTAATATGTTCTCTTTCTTGCCTTAAATTTACTTGTTGTTCATTGTCTTGGATGAAGGCGGGTCGTCTGGAGAATGTAGTAGGGTGGTATCACTCTCATCCTGGTTACGGGTGTTGGCTTTCTGGTATAGATGTATCCACACAAATGCTTAACCAGCAATTCCAAGAGCCCTTTTTAGCTGTGGTTATAGATCCAACAAGGACTGTTTCTGCTGGAAAAGTTGATATTGGTGCTTTCAGGACATACCCTGAGGGGTACAAGCCTCCAGATGAACCTGTCTCCGAGTATCAGACAATCCCCTTGAATAAAATCGAGGACTTCGGCGTGCACTGTAAACAGGTGATTATACTCACCCAGAGATGCACGTTATATGACAATTTCTTTTTGGAATTTGCTCATTTAATCAAGTCCTGTTATTTGTAGTATTATTCATTGGACATCACGTACTTCAAGTCGGGTTTGGATTCTCATCTCTTGGACCTACTTTGGAATAAGTATTGGGTGAACACACTTTCTTCTTCTCCTTTGCTTGGTAACGGAGACTACGTTGCTGGTCAAATCTCAGATTTAGGTAATTTTCTTGTTACCATGCAAGTATTTAATTTCTTCACAGTATCAATTATCAAGGCTGTTATTTTAGTCATTACCTGCATAGAGGGCACTTCAGTTACCGGGAGTCATGCCAATTTATTGCATTGTGCTTTTAATTTCGTGCAGCCGAGAAAATAGAGCAAGCAGAAAGTCAGTTGTCCCATTCACGCTTTGGGTCCCTGATAACAGCCCCTCAAAGGAAGAAAGAGGTCTGTCAATTATTCTAACCACAAAGATTTTTCATATTGTTTCTTGGTTTTCTGTGTTTTCTTTTGCTTTATGTACTTTAGTCGTACAGTCCATAACCATTCATTTTCACCAGTGTTTGATGTCTTCAAACACAAGATTTGTCAAACTGAAATTCTTTCAACCCATCCACTTACCTGACTACAGTCTAACTCATTCTATTTGGGATTTGCTTAAGATATGTTTCATCTTGACTAATTGGAACATGTATTCTACATTCATTCACAATTTTGACAAAAGTTGTTCCAGTTTTATCGTGTTTTCTGTTTCCTTTGGTCGTTGACATTGTATAGTCCTTATCATTTTTCATTCTGTGATATTTGAAAAAAAAAACGATAGACAGGTTGCTGAATTTCATTCAGTATGGGTGTGCAAGTCTTCATTTGATTCTCTGAAAGAAAATTTATCATTCAGCATGATAGATTTCCTTGAAATTATGTAGCACCTGTCATTAAGTTGCATTAGTAAAATGTATTATTCCCTTGAATTGGATTTCCAACTATATATCACTTACAAAATTTGAATATCTGAAATACAAACATAGTTACTCTCGCCACCCTAAATGCATCAATGAATAAATTGATAGGTAAGCAGGAAGGCAGAATTCCATTACTTGATATGCTTGTTAACAATTGGCTTATCATTTGAAAGGATGTAACTTATAATGAACAAAATGCCAACTGAAAAACGAGGTTCACATCATTTGATATGATTCGTGAATGAAGTTATGATTAGGCTTTTGCCTATCGTGCATTCTTAGTTATCAAACACCCTGTTGTCCTGTTATTTTATTCACGAATCCACTTATAAACGAACAAAGTGTCTTTATCCACTGCAGGAAGAATCTCAACTTACCAAGATTACTCGTGACAGTGCAAAGATAACAGTGGAGCAAGTCCATGGATTAATGTCACAGGTAAGGTTTAAACGTAATAATATTCCTAAATTTATGCCCACGCATTATTTAATTATGTCGAAAAAGAGTGATGAACACTTTCTTTATTTCTATTCATTTAGGTCATCAAGGACATTCTTTTCAATTCCGTTCGGCAATCCAACAAATCTCAGGCAGAGTCATCTAGTCCTGAACCAATGGTCGAAACATGAGCTGATGCCAATCGAAACCACTCATTTTTCTGGCGTGGCTCTTGCTCATTTATGTCCCGAAGAAAATTGATTTACGGGTTTCCTTTTGTATTAGCATCTTCAAATGTATTGCAATTACTAGACTTAGTTGAAAAAGATGGCTCCCATCATTGCACTTTTGAAACGAGCGATGTTTTTGGCTCTATTCTTAGACTCGAATGGGTTCATCTATATCCTTCAAAGAAAGATCATATGCGTTTTAGTAGTAATTTATTTTTGTAGAGAGGACTCTTGTGAGACTATTACGATTTCCAAAAGCCCCTTTTAATTTATTGTTTTTATTTTTGAGGATCCTTTTCACACAATGGGGAATATTCTCATTTGAGGAATTCTGTCTGCCAAGTTATTCGGAAACAAGATTTCAAACGACTCCAAATAAGATCGAATTTGAAATCTAGAAATCTACCACAATAAAGATGTTTGTTGATTTAGGCAGTTACCCAAATCTTGAAACAAAAACTCAATTGTGTTATTTTTATTAGCAAAATCCCGTTTCAGTTGGAAAATGAAAAGACTCGATTAGGGCACTAAAAACTCCTCAATTAGAAGAATCACAAAAAGAACACATCGGAGTTATTGGTTGGCTTTCACAAGTTACAACCTGATTTTTGGTCTATGAGGTCTATGAGATGTTACACCTGGTGTAACACACCAGGTGGTTTTTGAACCGTAGATCTATATAAATAATTATCTACTAAGCACACATATACATGGATGTGTGTTGCTATGTGTAGATCAATAGTTCAAGATCATGTGGTGTATTTCACCGGGTGTAACATCTATATAAAACCCTGTTTTTGATCAATAAATACAAAATACCAACATTTGAGCACTTGTTACAACACGACTCCCGGTGCAAAGACAAACAAACAACCAACAATATAATCTTGTTGTATTGATTTGAAATTCCCCATTTAAATGTTCCGATTTTTCGATCCAAATGAAGCATTAGAGTTTGCGAGAATGCTATCCTCAAGTACATAACAAGTAAAAGTAAGTAAAGACAATATATATTCCATCATCTATCTATGCTAGAGATGATGGAGTATGACACAATTATTCAATCAATTCCTGAAATTCTGCATAAAAAAAATCTCAGTTCTGCAGCTTCTCCACTTGGTCCGCCTCATGCTCATCGACGTTTCCCACCGGAGAGAGTCTCTGCACAAATTCACATTAAAAATTTAAAAAGAGTAAAAAAGAGACATCAGTGGGGCATTTCGTCGAACAGTTAAGGGACATTGACAAAAACAGTAAAATACCAAATCAGGCTTGTAGATATTGTGCACAACCGAAGCTCCGGCGAGGAGGGACGCAACGACGACGATGGTTGACCATGCCAGTGACGGAGTTCCCGTCGGCTGCTTGCCACCACCAAATTTCCGATTCATCTCTACCGTGCGCGGCGGATTGTAATTCTCTACAGTTAGATCACAGGCAATTTTATTCTTGAAAAACGTGGTTTCGTTTTTAAGAGTTACAAGTCGCTATTAGCACCAATTTTATATATTTGTTTTATTTGGGTAAATTACAACCGAAAACCCCCTCATGTTTGGATAATTATAACTACCGCCATAAACTATGAATCTTCTTACACGTTCATTCTTATGGTGTCAAATTCAACATAATCTTCTAGGTTCCGTGGAATGTTCACTAATTTGTACTCGTTTTGTGTAAACATGCAGTTTCTGATGCACCACAATCTGATATTTACAAGCCAAAAGACATCTTATGATCATCTTGCTTCAAAATGTGGAGCTCGAATGAATAAAACGGACAAAAAATTTGAGAATGCTCCATATAATCTAAAAGATTCCACTAAATTGGACACCGCAAGAGTGGACGTGTAAGAAGATTTGTAATTAAGGGTGGTTGTAATTACCCAAACATGAATTTTTTTTTCGTAATTTGATCATATATCAGGTGGTCGTTGTAATTTTACCCTTTTATATATTTCTTTTAATTTTCAAAAAATAAACGTAGATAAAAAAAAAAAAAAGAAAATACAATTTTTTTTTTTTTTGTTTTTACTCTTGATGTCACCCCCTTCAAAATTCACCTCAATTCTCGACGGAAATGGATGAACCGAGGGGATCGCGCCGCTGCACGCGGTCGAGGGCAGCCCCAGACTGGACGGCGGAGGAATCCCTAATTCTGGTAAACGAGATCTACGCCGTCGAATCGGAGTGGGGAGCCACACTCCCTTCGTTCCAGAAATGGCAGCAAATCGTAGAGAATTGCAATGCCCTAGAGGTTAGCCGGAACTTGAATCAGTGCAAACGTAAGTGGGACGAGCTGCTGATCGAGTACAGACGGGTTAAACACGACGCGGCGGCGGATGGGTCGCTTCCCGTTGAGCTGTTCGACGCAATTGATATGTGTGTTGGTGCCAGGGGAAGAAAGTACGGTGGTGCTGAGGCGGCGGCGGTGGCGGCGGAGAAGGCGGTAGCGGAAGAAGAGGAGCAAGTGGTCATGGCGACTGACCCGGATTCCGACCCGGAAGCGCAGGGCCGAGCCACTGAGTTCTTTCTAGAAACTGGTAATTGTATTTTTTTTTTTTTTAATTAGGGCTAAGAATTTCATTTTCATTTGCATTCTCTTTACATAAAAATGCTTGAGATTAATACATTGTCTATAGTGATTAGTTTGCTTTCCTTCGAAAATTAGAATAATTCGTGGATAAAAATTCTTGAGTATGTTTGATTCTTGGAAGTTCCCAAGATAGTTCTAAAAACAAGTGTTCTTAAGTTTTATCATGTTGGAAACAATATGAACTTGGATAATAGTTGACCTTATCTTGACGAAGGCGTATTTCGATTATCAAACCTCAAATCAATGAAATTTGTATTCTTGCTAGTTAAGTGATGAAATTTTTTTGCTCCACTTTTTCGGTTCGCATTTGGCGACTTGGACCAACTTCTGAAGAAACGTAAACGTTTTGGTAAAAAATGAAACTTTCTGATGTTTCAAAAATCATTTAGCTCGTCGAAGTCTTTTGAAGAATCCCGATTTATGTTTTCTATAGGTAATATGAATAGAATTTGGCTTATGTAGTTGCAGTGGTGGAGACAACATAGGGGCACAGAGGGGCCATGCCCCCTCCACTTCGGAAAAAATTAGATAGAGATATATATATTATTTTCCTAATTTTGTGTATAATTTTAGATATTTTTCCCTAAAGACAAGGGTATTTTCGTAATTATTAGGTACGAAGAAGCAACGACCCAGAATGAAGCGTAAAAAACGGAGACTCGAAACCCTAAATCCTTGGGGGTACTCCACGAGTGCAAAGTCGATAAAACAAGAAGAAGAAGAAGAAAATAGCAACATTAATGAAAAACGGGGGAACACAAATAACGTCACTCAAAGCACACCCGAGCCTGAGCAGAGCAGTGTAGAAACGAGAGAGCAAATAATGGCAACAATGCTGTGGGATAACGCGATGAAGATTAATGCGATATTGGAAGGAAATGTAGCGGACGATACGGACTATAAATTGGCGGATATGAAAAATGCGGAGGCTGTGGAAACTGATTTTACGAGACTACAAGGTGATAAACTTATCGATTGCTTTGGAAAAATATCGGAGACTCTTAAACAGCTTTGTGAAATTGTGCAGCAAAATGCAACTGCTGCTTTGCCTTGAAGGGTCGTCGTATAATTTTTTCTTGCGTTTTGTACATCATTTTCTTCTATTTGCAGATTTTAGTGCATTGTCTCTAATTGCATTAGATCGATTATCGGCAACTTCTGAAATTAGTCGTTTAGTTGCATTACATCGGAATTAGGGGTGGGAATTGGATGATCGGATTTGAATTAGCACTTTCTACAAAATCCAATTTTTTTTTTCCGGAAGTGTATGATTCCAATTCCGTTCAGAAAAAAAAAATCGGAAAATTGAAAATCGAGGTTTCAGAATTTGAAACGGAATAAACTTGTTCTGGTCGGAAATTTTCCGATTTTGTACGACATAAATTCGAAATTCCATTTTTTTATTCATCTAAAATAGATAATAAAATTCGGGCAAACTCCATTTTTCCCCCTTGTACTTTGGCTCGGTATCACTTTACCCCCTTCTACTCTCGATTGCATTGATTTGCCCCTCATGCACTTGAAAAATTGTCTCAATGTGGCCCTTGCTATTAGTTGTCAGACATTTAACCTTAACACCGTTCGGTCTAAGCTCTGAAATTACAAAAACATCACCCCTCCCAGTTTAAATAATTGTTAAGAAAGCAAAAATAAAAATAAAAAATCAAGACAACGAGAAAGTATAGTCCACGACGGTGACCACAATTTACTTTTATTTTTTATAATTTTTTAAACTGGGAGGAGTAACTTTTTTGTAATTGTTGGGTACCCGTTGAACTCAATAATTATTACAGACCAAATAATAAACATAAACTGTAATAAATTACAGATTAAATCCTATGGGAATAAGGGGTTAGGGAGTACAAGCAATTCTAAGAATAAAGCAGAAATAATAAAGATTACACAATATATTTATTATTTATGCTAACCCAGAAGATCTATCTATCAGATCTGAGGAGAATCCACGGCTCAGTTCACAGTTCCCACGAGCTACACACCGATCCCGGATGAGGCAGCCAACGATTCCGGTAACAAGCCCAAACACGCAGCAAAGATACTCACTCTCTCCTCACTCTTTTCTCAACCCAAACCCAGAATAGATCTTGGAGATATCCAAGATCTAAAACCCACGAAAGCCCCCGTTTTCTTTGTTCTCACACAGAAACACACTGAACTCACAAAGAACTCTCACAGATCACACAGATCCTTTAACCCACTCAAATCACGAAGAAAAATGGGAAAATTGAACAAGAAAAGGGGCTGTATCACTTAGCTATCCTCGTATCTCCCTCATCTCTCAAGGAGGGGTATAAATAAACCCGAATAGCAACAACATTAGCGACTTCTTCGCATCCGACTCTAGCAACGCCATATTCGGCGGCAAAGGCGGTGAGTTGTTGCAGAAAAAATCGAGAGAGAGAGAGAGGGAGAAGTGCAGCCGTTTTAGGGTTTGATATGGAGGAGAAATGGAAGAGAGATGGAGTATTTATGTGTCATATGGAGGGCTGAGATTACCTCTCAAAATTGACGGTCCAGATTAACTTACAACTTAAGCTGCTGGGCCAGCTTGGTGTTTGGGCTGCCTCCGGGGAATGGGCCACGAAATGAATTGAAGTGTTGGGCCAGTCTCAATATATGGACCATTTGGGCCCAACTTTTCCAACACTCTCCACCTGAGATCAAATGGTACAGGGAATGTATGTGATCATCATTGCCGTTTTTATTGTACCTGCACTTCAAACAAAAAGTTAGTGCATAATTTATTAGCATAAATAAATAACCTATTCTACGAAAGCAATAAAAAATGAAATACATAAAGTAAATCAACCTTTCGTCTCAAAATTCAGATTTTTCAAGCAAGATCTGAATTTTTCGATGGGTAGGCACTTAGTACCCATATCAGCAGGATTAAATTCGGATGGGATTTTTTCAAGTCTAATTTTGCCACGACCCACTATGTTACGAATAAAGTGATACTTAATTTGTATGTGTTTAGTTCTCTCGTGGAAGACCGGGTTCTTACACAGTTGAATACCTGATTGGCTGTCTGAATAGACAACTACTTCTCCATTTAAGAAACCAATTTCCTTAAGAAGACCTTTAAGCCAAAGTGCTTCTTTTATAGCCTCGGTTGCAGCTATGTACTCTGCTTCAGTAGTAGATAAAGCTACTATACGTTGCAACTGAGATTTCCAACTAATGCAAGAGCCACACAAAGTAAACACATAAGAAGTAGTAGATTTCCTATTATCTCTATCATTAGCAAAATTAGAATCCACATAACCGATTAACTCAACACCATTATTAGATTTGGAAAAATTTAATCCCAAGTTCAATGAACTTTTCAAATAACGAAGAAGCCATTTAAGCGCTTCCCAATGCGGCATACCGGGATTAGACATGTATCTACTTAAACAACTAACTGCATACGCAATATCAGGCCGAGTACAAACCATAAGATACATGACAGATCCAATTGCATTGGAGTAAGGCACAGATTGCATATCATTAATTTCAGATTCAGTAGAAGGAGACTGAGTCTTACTTAGCAAAAAATGGGCAGCTAATGGCACAGAAGCAGATTTAGCAGAATTCATTGAGAATTTTTCCAAGATCTTCTCAACATAAGAAATTTGATTAAGAAACAAGGTGTTATTACTACGATCCCTATCAATATTAATTCCAAGAATCTTCTTGGCATCTCCTAAATACTTCATATCAAATTGTTCACTTAGACACTTTTTGATATAATCAATGGATTTCAAGCAAGGACTAATTAGGAGCATATCATCAACATAAATTAACAGAAACATAGGGATACGAGCATTCTCCATAAAATAAAGGCAAGGATCGAAGTCGCTTCGTTTAAAATTCAAAGAAAGCATGCAAGAGTCAAATTTCTTATTCCATTGCCTAGGAGATTGTTTCAAGCCATACAAAGACTTTTTAAGCAAACACACATGTTCACCTTTATTAGGATCTATAAAGCCCTCGGGCTGTTTCATATAGATCGTTTCATCCAATTCACCATGCAAAAACGCAGTTTTAACATCCATTTGCTTCAATTCCCAATTAAAATGAGCAACTAAAGCAAGCATAATACGCACAGTAGTGAATTTAACAACAGGGGCAAAAATTTCGGTGTAGTCAACACCCTCTTTTTGAGTAAAGCCCTTGGCCACAAGCCTAGCTTTATACCTAATCGAATCTACTTCACTTTTGACCTTAAACAGCCATTTGCAATCTACCACAGAACAATTAGCAGGTTTAGGCACAAGTTCCCAAGTATGGTTAACATGCAACGAGTTCATTTCATCATTCATAGCATTTAACCATTCGGTAGATTTATCAGATTTTAAGGCATCTTTATACGACTTAGGCTCATTTCCATCAAGTGATTCAAACACATTAAAAACATGGTGAAGCACGGTGAAAATCATCACAGTGTTTAGGTTTCCTAACATGCTCACGTCTAAGTCTATCCCTAGCAAGTTGATAATCAGA